GTCTATTGTATCTGAGTTTAAGTTATGTGTCCCATCTTCTATGAGGGACAACATTGTCTTTCTTGTAACTTAAGTTTTATGAATAAAAGTCAAGTGGGATGGCTAGGAGAGAGTGACTTTCACTTTTCTCTCTTCTAGTCTGGCCGAACATTCTTCTCCTTCTTTCTCTTTTCTTTCTTCTTCCTTTTTTCTCTGCTTTAACCTAGAATGAACTAGGGTTTATTCATAGGGGCCTTATCATATCGCTTCTATGGGTGGGTACAGATATTTCTTGTTATTTGTTGATGACCATACCCGTTTTTTTGGGTTTATCTCATGCGTTCATGAGATGAGGTACCTTCCCTGACCCAAAATTTTCTCCAAATGATCCTAACCCAGTTTGATGCCAAGATCAAAGTTCTCAGATCTGATAACGCAAAGGAATACTTTGCTATATCATTGACATCTTATTTTCTTCATCATGGGGTTATCCACCAGAGCTCTTGCCCTCATACACCTCAGCAGAATGGAGTTGCCGAAAGGAAGAATTGGCACATTTTGGAAGTGGCTAGAAGTCTCATGTTTACTTCCAATGTTCCTATCCGCTTCTAGGGTGATGCTATCCTCCCGGCGGTATACCTTATTAATCGGGTTCCTTCTAGGGTCCTTGATATGAGATCACCTTTTTCCCTTCTACACCCAAGTGGGGACTTGTTTTCTATTCCCCTTAAGACATTCGGTTGTACCTACTTTGTTAAGCTTCTCGGACCCCATCACTCCAAGTTCGAACCCAAGGCCTCCAAATGCATCTTCCTTGGTTATGCACAAACTCAAAAGGGTTATTGCTGCTATGATCCTGTCTCAGGGAGGAAGTTTGTCTCCATGGATGTCACTTTCTTTGAGGGGACACCCTATTATCCTCGGGTTTCCCCTCGGGGGGAGAGCAGTGAGAGTGGGGGTTTGAGTCCTTGTCTTCAGGGGGAGAGTAGTGAGAGTGGGGCAGTTCCTTTACCTATTCCATTGGGTGATGAGAGCTGCAATGGTGAGGGTAGTCAGAGGGATCGGGAATTGAGGGAGAGTTGCAATGGTGAGGGTGGTCAGAGGGATCAGGAGTTGAGGGTCTATCACAGGCGGTGCAGGCAGGTTGATCCTGATCATCAGCAGTCCAGGCCAG